GGGAGCAACCGGGCTGGTCGTACCTGACTGTGTGGATGTCGAGTGACCGGTTCACACAGTGCTCTTGATCTACCAGGTCACCAAAAATGACTGCTTGGGTCTGCACTGACGATTTTCGTTTCCCTTTTTCTTTTTTCCTTTTTGAAAAGGAAGCTGTCTTTTTTTTTTTTTTTGAGAACAACCCGATCCGATGCTAGGTGCGCTGATAAGAGCAGACACATCTAGCACCGTCAGGGAGGCTCCATCTATTGGTGGGGAGCAGCACCTGCTGGAAATCGGGTCCAGCGTCCCTTTGAAACATCTTTTGGGACAGTGATTGTTGGGCATATGGCCATCATAGTTCTTGCTCCAGAGCATCCTTCTCTCCCCCAGGGCTTCATATGTCACCCTTCCCAATTGTAGAGCTCCTGCTCTTGTACATTCAAACAATACTCAACGACGCCGGGGACCTCACAATTCAACTCGGATGGACATACTGGGGCCATTACCCACCTTCGGCTATGCTGGAAACCGGGTCCATTGTCCCTTGTAGAGATGAAAACAACTTCATAAGAAAAAACCGACTTGACAATAAAGAGACAAAGAGAGTGCAAAGAGCAGCAAACCTACAAACTAACCAACTATCTCCCACAAGACAATGAAGAAACAAGAAGGCAAGACCTATAACGGATTGGCAGTTAACCTGGGTGATAGAAGGGGTTCCCTGAGCGTCCCTGCCTAAACCACCAGTACCTTTCCCAGCTATTTTTTCAGAGGCGCGCCGGGTAAGGCACTGGCCTGAAACGGAAGGGCGGGCACCGATAAATCAAATCAGCGGCCAGTCTTGATTTTCGGGCTGGCGCGCAGTGCCCGGCGGCCCACGGCCGGCATATGGGAAAGGTACTGGTGGTTTAACCACCGTGACGAGATTCCTGGCCCCTCAGGTTCTCCAAAACCAGGCTGCCACATCAGCACCGAGGTGGCATCTAGGTCTTCTGAAGCTGGAGTGGGCGTTGGCTAATTGCTAAAAGTTCTCAAAGGAGACCACATGAAGAGAGCGAGGGAACAATAACGTTACTTGGTGCTTCCTGCCTTTTGAAAGCACATTGTGCCATCTTGCTGCTTTGTGCTTCACCCTGGTGATGCTGCAGGCTGGCACGCCGAATGAAGGAGAGCTTGTTTTCTTTTGAAGGCCAAGCTCTTTGATGCATCATCACTCTCGCTCTTCACTCGCAGGTTTTGGTGGAGGGAGGCCGATTTGTCAAGAGGGGAGAATAGAAGGGCGTTGTCATAATGAGTGGGAGGAGGATTGCCAGGAGCCATTCAGTGCAGCTCCTTCGAGCGTCGCGACGATCTCTACAGGAAGATGCTACTTCAACTTGGGGACTTTTACCATTGGCTCGTCCGCGTGGTCTTCTCCCTTTGTTCACCAGTGTCTCCATTCGGGATCATTTTCATCTGCTTTGCCGTTGTCATCATCCCCTTTGTTAGCATCAGTCTAATCAGCATTATCATCATCATCATCATCTTCCTCGTCTTCAGGTACAAAGTGAGTATGAGAGGATCGGTGGGATTCTTTTCTCAATCACATTCCTGCCTGCCATTTTTCCTCTACCTTTTCTGTTCCTATCTCTCCCTCCTCCTTCATACCCTCCATTGGTGATGAGGGGGTTGGAAGACGTGAAGAAAATCCGCTCCACAGGAGGCTCCATCGGATTGGTGCGCAGCGAGAAGATGTCCACACACTCCAATTCTACTGGATGATCACCTGGCGGAGCTAACCTTTGCCTCCAATCCGCCACCAACTCGCTTCCCGCGTCCTCACGATGCATTTACAATACTGTGCACAGATCACCAATGAACGAGACGATCACCGTGACGTCACTTTGCCATGGGTGGGAATGCCGAAGGAAGGCTGATCCCTCCACCAACACCATCGCTTTGCCACCTTCTGCCGACACCGTTACTTCGACCGCAGCGTACCAGGCTCGCGTACTAAAGAGCTGCACGAATCACAGCAGATCGGGGTTGAGGCGTGGATGAATGACCTGTGGAAACTGCAGTGATGGTCGTGGCTGAAGTAGTTGGGGCGAAATGATTGGCTCAAAAGCGAAGTTCATGATGATGGCTGAGGGGACAAGGTGTCAGGAGGTGTACACCAATCTTTCCTCCCATTGTCCCCCTCCTTCACCCTCTTCCTCCTTTGTACCCCCCTCCTTCCCCCCCCCGCCAGTCTTTACATTTGTTGCCCTGCTATCCCTCCTTCCCACTCGGAAGTTGTGTGCAGAACCCCAAACAGCTCATTCCTCCTAAAGTTTCCGTCAGCATTTTGGCCGAGATTTTTTACCAACGGTCATGTAGGGAGCAGCTTTGAGTCGGCACTGGTGTGGCCGAGTGCTACATAGTTGATAAAAGGGAGTTACCGGGAGTTTTTTACTCCTCTTGGCCTGAGGGACAGAAGGGTCAAGCGCTGGGCTTGTTCTGCCAGCGGTTTTGGGTGTTCTATGCTGTGATACGTAAAGTCCATGAACACCTGTTTTTGTATCTATGCAAGTGAGCTGCGAGATCGACCATGCAGTAGCTTGGGCAGCAATCTAGCAGCGCCGTCGGCAACTTTCGGGTTGTGGATGAGCATTTTGTCGCGTCTTTCTTGTAGATTTCTATTCTTCATATGGTGTTATCATTCATAGCATGGGCAGTTGGCGGGTCGTCCTCACATCGTGCAGCTTTCTGGTTGGCCTTAGCCTGGTTAGTTTTCTTCTTCTTTTCTCTACGGTTTGATGGGCAGTTGACTGTGCCTCTGATGCTGGGCATGGCTGCATCCTAGCTGAAGAATGCGTGAGAAGGTGGAGATACTGGGGACTTCACCAGCCGAGAACGGAAGACATGCGGGATTTGGTTAGCAGCGACGACGGATCTAGATTGTATGGTTGGTGGGGAGATCGTGACACACGAGGGGGTGATTACGTGGTTGGCGGGAGGTAGAGTAGGGGCGGAGCATGATGATTTGATGCGGTGACGAGTGCAAACGGTATCGGGCTATGTTACTTCTTGTTCATCGTTGGTTTGATGTCGCCCGTGCGTACTTCGGTTGGGTGGTAAGGCGTCGTAATCATCGGCGGGTGCGCTGCCGCCACCAGTTGTTGGCACACGCGTTGGATGGAGGAGCGGCATCAGTCTTCGCGGGTACTTCGATTGGATGGTATGACGTCGTAATCATCTGTACCCGCACGTTGGAGGGAGTACGACATCTGTATGCCTTCGCGTACAGCATCTGTATGTCTTCGCGTACGACGGCGTCGTGTGTATCTGAAGGCTGGGTTCAGCGCGCGTGCTGAAAGCTGGGTTTCAGCGCGTTTTGCGTTTTGCTTCACTGTCAGGTACCACGGCATCGGGTGAATACTTCGGGTGTGTACTCCGGGTGTACTCGGTGCAGCGGTAATCGGTCATTCTACTCCGGTAGTCTGGGTTTCTCCCATCTCGCGTGGAAATTCGTACCCGCTCGTCATCTTCAACAGACTGCGACCTGGGCATGAGCGGGGTTTGCCCCGTGTCGTTCTTCGATGAGTAACGGAGGGTGTGTCTGCGTGACATTGGTGGAAATTGACACTGAAGCTTGTGAGTCGACATATATGGGAGAGCGAGATTAGGACTGAGGTGGTGGCGTGTATTGGGTTGTGAAATCCTGACTATTGGGCGGACATTGTTCCTGGATCAGATAGTGGCTGGTGCATTTGATGACACGTGGCGAGTGTCATCCCGAGTTGTGTAGTGACGGGCCGGGATGCTCGATGTTGGTGCTATCGTTGTGACTATTGGTAACTGGTGAATATCAGTTCTTTATTTATTTACTTGTTCATTTATTTATTTATTTGTTTCTGACTACAGCTACTTACCTTCAGGGACGGGGGAAGGGAACTAAGGTACGTAGGTTCTATCTTGATTAGTGAAGGCGGCAATGTATGCGGGCGCAGGGCAGAGGAAGGGGGAGGGGGAGGTGGTCGAACTGTGGGAGGTACTGGATGGAGAACACAACTCCACAACCTCCCCAAGCTCAACCACCTATGCCTCCTTTCCAATCTGCAGTTGCTCCACCGATTCCTCTGTTTCAATCATTCTACCCCAATCCGTTCCCTGCTCCACAATCCTTCCCGAATGCCACCCCTCAGTACGCATTTCCTATGAGTCATGGACTGAACACAGCTACTGCCAACTGGGCAATTGGGGGTCCTACCTCGGTGCCTGCACAGGCGGGGGGTCAATTCAGCAGGGGGGATGGACGTGGAAACGGGAGCTACCAACCGCATGCGTTCTTCACACGAGAACATGCGAATTTTATCGAGAAATTAAAGTTGAAAGACGCGGTGGAAGAAGCTCGGAAAAAGGATCTGGAAGAAATTGCCAGATTACGGGGACTGGGTTGGGAGGTGGAGGAGCAGAAAGGTAGAGTACCAGACACCGAAAAAGAAAAATCGCAAGGAAAAGGCAAAAACAAGAAGCAAGGAGGCAAACACAGAGGGAGAGAAAAGGTTGATGAGGCAGGAAAGGAGGATGAAATGAAGAAGTGGGTTGCCACAAACTTTGGGGGTTCTCTAAGGATATTGTCTGAGAAACTGGAAGAAGTGGAGAAGAAGTCGAGTTTAGAAGTTGCTGAGCTGGAAGAGTTGAAATTATTGAGAGCAGAGAAAGAGCTGAGAGAACTGAGAGAAAATTCAAGCTCTGAAAAAAGGAAAAGGGATATTGCTTCTCCGGCTAAAAGGAAAAGGAAGGTTAGATCTCGTTCTAAACTGCTGAGAAAAGCGGGGAGAGGGGGGAATGCGAAATATGTTGAGGTATCCTCGGACGATGACAGCAAGGGTCAGGATGCAGTGGTGCAGAATCTGAGTAGTAAGATGGAAAGATCAGCAGGAGGAAGCGATGAGGTATCTGAATTGAAAACCCTCATCCAGGAATTGCTTGCAGCAAAGGGAGAGATGCGAGCAGCAGCAACACGGGAGGAACACAGGGAGCAATGAAGGTGGCAATTGGGATGGAGCAGGCAGACCAGAAAGGAGAAGCAGGTCCATCAGGCGAAAAATCGGAGAAAGGTAAAGGAAAAGAAGAAGGGGGGTTAGGCATGTATTTCAAAGATCGTGTTGTATACTACGATGCGATGCATCATACCGAGATTCCGGAACTGTGCAAGAAGAAGGGGGTACCATACAAGTGTAAAGAGGCCGGGGTATGGGAGCTAGCCAGACTTGACTTTGAAGTGTTACTAAAAATAGAGAATGCAGTGGACGAAAAGGAAGAGATTGATGATGAGAAGGGGGATGAAGGATCAAAGGACTCATCGGAAAGCAGTTCCAGCTCAGATGAAGAAGCCCAGGACGACGACATAGCGGGAAACTGAAGTATGCCAGTAAGCGTTCGTTGTTGAGGGCTTGCAAGAAACTGGCAGGTTGGGCCAGTCAATATGATGGGAATATCAGTCGGGATTGTGGTAATTTATTAAAGTTGCTAGCCATAGCATTGTGTCTTAGAGGTGATATAAAATGGGGCAGGAATTTTGCTAAGTACTGGATGAATCTGAAGGTTGATGAATGAGATTCCTTGCTGACTGGGAATAGTTGTGTGTACCTTTTGATTTCCCGTTCTTTAAGCTCACCTATGTTGGGAAGACAGAGAGGGCTTTGCATACCAGATGGGCCGAACATGTTCGATCTGCGGGCAGTGAGCCGAGACAGAAAGTGCACCGGTGGCTGGCAAAGTTAGGCGCCAGCAACTATGTGGCATTACCGCTTTGGTTCGGGGACAAAAACGCACTGGCAAGTATGGAAAATTTTATTATCGGTTGCTTTTTGATTGTCGGCAACTAGGAATTCACTCTCAGCCTGACCTCCTAAAAATTCTAAAGCAAGCAAAGAACCAAAAAGAAATATTGTTGGTAAATAATAAAGGGGAGCACTGACTGAAGTCATGGGGTTTGGTCAAGTTTTTGTATGGTCATAGTATAGTGGTAATTGGGGGGCAATCGTGCTTGCTGAAAGACGCCAAGCAACTCATCCAAAGGGGAGGGGAATGGTAGATTACGGATCTGAAAAAACAAAAAGCAGATCTGATATTCCCAAAGTTGAAGTGTTAACCATTCTCAGACAACCGTGGAAGAGGAAAGGATTGTATAAAAAGAATTTGGAGGAATTAGTGGAATTAGACTTGGGTGTTAAAAGGTTAAGTACCAATCGAGGTAGACAAATCACTAGGGGTATCATCACACGAGTCACAAAGAAATTGTTTGGTATTAACCCCAGACACAGGATTACTATTAAGCTCCCTTTTTGTGATTCAGTGAGTAAAAGGAAAGTACATGCATGTGCAAAAGAATGGATGAAAGGGAAGATTGCACCAGTGTGTCTATCTAATCTGTTGATTGGCAGAATGAGAACCGTCTGGCAGAAAAAGAAATCTGTCGGGGACATGCTGCATAATCACCAGCGCTTTGCAAGAGGAAGTGGTTTTACCTGCACTTGCAAAGACTTCGACTTGCCCAGATATAATAGGCATGTTCATGTTAGATTAGATGACATTGGAGGGATCCGAGACTTTGTAAAGAATGCTAAAAACGTGCCGCATCCAGGGAGTCTCCTCACAAAGAAGGAAGTGAATATGGCTTGCAATGACGCATTGGAACCTTTGAAGAAGATGGGCGTGATTGGCCCGGGTTAAAGATTGCATGTAAATTGGAAAGAAATTTGTGTGAAGAGTGACTTACCCCATGTTGGCTATGATGCTGAGTACGTTATGGGGCTAAAGCAATATTTTGCGGGTCTAGTGCTCTCACCACCAGACCGAAACTTGGGGGCAACACTTGTGGAATGCCCAGTATTGTAAGAAGCAGGTATGACTATGATGTACAACGAGAATGAGAACTATGAGAAGGTTACAAAGAAAGAAGATGATGTCATGAGAGAAACGAGGATGCGGTTTCAGTCACTCAAGCTACAAAGGGTTGCGAAGTGGGATAACAAAGAGATACTACAACCAGCCTACATTATCTCGAAGGACAAAGTCATTGGGAAGAAGAGACCGAGTGTACCGTCATTTCTAAGTCCTACCAGAAGTGCAATGGGCTACCTGGCGCAAAGTTTGAATTTCCTCATTAAAAGATTTAGGGGTGCACACTTTAACCTCACAGGAGCCAGACAATTGCAAGAAAAATTGAAGAAGAGTAATGAATCTGCGAACCAAAGATGGGGCTTGGACTACCGATTTGTACTAAGAACCTATGATGTAAAGGAGATGTTCACGAGGCTACCACATGATGAGATCATAAAGGCAGTGATGTGGCTAATTGAAGGTTTTCGGGATAAAGGGCATCAATGGATTCGAGTGAAAAGTAAAGGTAAAAAGGCAACTCTGGAAAAATCGCATGGGGAATTGAGTTGGAAATCGATTAGATTGACTGACTTAATCTCTCTTACAAAATTCCAATTGAGTAATACGTTTTTCTTGGCGAAGGCACAGATTCTGCGGCAGATTATTGGCATCCCCATGGGAGGGAGGGCCAGCCCGCCTTTAGCCAACGTCCTATGTATCTTCGCTGAGCAACAGTTTTTGAAATCCTTGGGTGCTGATGCAAAGTTCATTGATGGCAACCGTTTCATTGATGATCTACTCCTGGTGGGATGGTATGATGCAAAGGATGAGATGGGAGCTGTCAAACGAAATCGAGTATTGGACCAGATCGAGAACTGTTACCACAAGGATCTTCTGTTGAAACGGACTAACAATGGGGAAAACATTGTTGAGTTTTTAGAAACAAGGCTGATCGCCACAGTGACGCCTGCATGGATCTACAGTTTTCACAAATTCAAGAATCTTGGCTCCATTTGGGAAGGAGAGAAGGGTCACTTCAAGACCCTAAGGGATTTTGATTCGTTCGCTCCGGTGATTCAGAAGTGTGGAACTGTTTCAAACGGTATCTGCCGTATTGTAGACAATTCCAATACCAGGGTCTCACTGTGGTGGAGCCTGATGACATTTCATAAAGAATTGAAAGAAAATGACTACCCACAAGAAGTTTTCCAAACAGGATTGCTGAAGATGGCGAAGAAAAAGGATAGTTTTGGTGGGAAATGGCAAGGGAACTACAGAGTTTGGGAGGGTGGGAGGGACAAAAAAGAAGGCTTGGAGCGGCTTAAGGCAAGGCTGCAGGGGTACGGATCATCAAGGTTGAGAACCCTTTTTTCAGAAAAGAGGACTCAACCGCCCAGCAGGCCTAGAAAGAATGGAAAGGGAAACAACGACGAGGCTTTGGTAAATCAGCCTGGTGTGGGCCGATCGATGTGAGTGACGATTTCTGTTAGTTTGTTTTTTTATTTATTTATTTTTTCCAATTTTTCAGTTTGTGATTCGTTGGCCGAGATTTTTTACCAACGGTCATGTAGGGAGCACCTTTGAGTCGGCACTGGTGTGGCCGAGTGCTACATAGTAGATAAAAGGGAGTTACCGGGAGTTTTTTACTCCTCTTGGCCTGAGGGACAGAAGGGTCGAGCGCTGGGCTTGTTCTGCCAGCGGTTTTGGGTGTTCTATGTTGTGATACGTAAAGTCCATGAACACCTGTTTTTGTATCTATCCGTCAGCATCCAATGCGTCGCAATTGGCCGTGGATCGATAACTTCGTGGCAATTAACTGCTGCTGCCTTCTCTCCGTCGTGGTCCATCGGGCATGTGATGAGCTTCAAGGAGACGTCAAAGACGGCGAGCTTTCTCTTCTTCTCCTCCAAGCATGGGACAGTGGGACACGGGAATGGAGGACCCTCTCATTGGCCTGGTGTACGGAGAAGTAGCAGACAGTGGTTGACTGAAGGTCGTCAGCGAGTTCGTCATGTTTCTTGCGCAGATCCTTGACAATCTGCCGATACAACATCATCTCGCACGGATAGAGTTCGCCAATGCCCGAGGTCTTGGAGGGCACACTCACCCCCACAGTATTATGGACGAAGTGCAAAGAGGAGGACACCTTTACGAATGCTGACAACCCCCCCATGATCTTAGGTTCGGTTTTTCGTTTCTTTACCGCCTCGTAAATTTGATTTTGTGGTACTGGACGTACACTGTTTGTTGTTTAGCTGCTGTAGCTGTGGCTCGATCTTGGGACCTGATCCTGTTTCCTCAGAGTGCCTTTCATTGTAGCGGCTGTTTTGCTGGTTGAGGTAGGTACTCCTAGTCTTTTAGATGGTCACAGGATATAAATAGGAGCATTAACGCTTGATCATTATCTCCTCGACTTAGGCCCCTGATGAGTGCTGGGAGCCGCCAACCGAAACTAGTCGGGCCATTGCCGGTAGTTACTGGGCTTCATGTTATACTTCTAATTGTCGTGTTCGGGATGATTTTTTTAACCTGTGTCTTGCTCTTCTCAACCTCCCCCTTTTTTTTTTCTCTCTCTCCTCCTCCCCCTCCCCCCCCCTCTCTCTCTCTCTCTCTCTCTCTCTCTCTCTCTCTCTCTCTCTCTCTCTCTCTCTCTCTCTCTTTCTTTTTTCCCTTTCTATTCCCCGGCGACTGCTGGTTGCTTTGTTGTGGAGATCCTAACGATGGAGAGATGAAAACTCAAAACAATGTAGTCGAGGCTTTACTATCTGTAACCACATTGTATGTGCACTGGGGAAATCCCCGTGCAACAGACCTTCTACCTCACAACTGCTCAGTCTGCTTGTGAGCTCACACTCCATACTCCTTAAATACTCCAAAAGACCAAAAAAAAACACGAAAAAAGTCCGGGTAGAAAGTAACTGAAAAAACTGGAGTACCAGCATACGTCTTCTCTTTCCCGCCTGAGGTTCATGCACGAGACTCGCGTGCCTTTTCTTGCCCAGTTTCGTCGTATGCCTGGTCTCCATCGGCGCCGTTTCATCATTTGTCTTCATATCGCTTCTGGATCTCGTTGATATCTCAGGTCTGTCCCTCTGGCCGGTCTACCGCCGCAGTCCAATGCAGAGGGGGCAGGGCAGGCCTGATCTCCGATTCTGAGCCCCCGAATCCCATATACCCTACCCGGTGCCGCAGGTCCTTATAAAACCCTATAAAGTAACCGAAAAAAACTGGAGGAGTACCAGGATACGTCTTCTCTTTCCCGCCCGAGGTTCATGCACGAGAGCCCAGTTTTGCCGTATGCCTGTTCTCCATTTGTTGTGCTGTCCGGCTTATTACCATCGGCGCCGTTTCATCATTTGTCTTCATATCGCTTCTGGATCTCGTTGATATCTCAAGTCTGTCCCTCTGGCCGGTCTACCACCGCAGTCCAATGGAGAGGAGGCAGGCCAGGCCTGATCTCCGATTCTGAGCCCCCGAATCCCATATACCCTACCCGGTGCCACGGATCCTTATAAAACCCTCTTAGCAGGTTTTCAACCTGTCGGTAAGCTGTCTACCACCGTTTGTACCAACCTTCAATCCTCGATGCCATTTCTGCCCAAAAGCCTCCCACGCGCCC